AGGAAAGTAATCACTCAACTAAATCTAAAGTAAAGCTGATAGCACTGACCTGCTCATTCACGAACCAAAGGGGAAAACTAAAAAAGTTCTGTAGGAGCTGAAATGCTAAAATGGAGACCACAACACGTCTTGGGAACATGATGAGTGTCCTGCCCTCCACCCACCCACCTAAATCCAGCCTCAGATCAGAGCAAGAGAAACATGCTCTTCTATATTCCAGGAAACAAGGGCCTGCAAACACGGATCCTCCTGCAAGGCGCATCCCTTACAGTTCTTTTATTACCCTGACCCCTCATTAGCTGGAGGCAGAGAAATCTGTTTGCACGTTTGCTGTCTTTAATTGGCAGCTTTTTATTCCAGGTGCCTTCGACAGATGGGAGCTGGTTCAAGCACAAGGGCTTCACGATAAACTCAGAATTAAACAGAACTTGCACCAGCTGAACTCTGATATCAGCAAGATCACCACTTGGCTGAAAAAAACAGAAGCAGAGGTGGAAATGTTCAAGGCAGCGGAGCCTCCCTCTGACATCCAGGAGATGGGACTGCGGGTGAAGAGACTGCGGGTGAGTTAGAGGCGTGGCGAGGAGGAGACTTCAGGACGGGCACGTGAATGCACAGTTACGCCAGCCACTGTCGGGTCTGCTGGGGGGTGTGGGTGTGGTTTGCAGGTGGGAGGTGGCAAGGGTCAGTCTCTTCCTTCTCACTTCTGTGACTGACAAGGAAGGATGCAGATGCAGATTTTTGTCTTCCTGTGGAAGACTATCCACAAAGGATCCTGAAGCCCAGAGCAGGCCACAGGGGAAGTGGCTCAGCCCCCAATGCAGGAAAGGTCTGGTGGCCGAGGCACCTCTAGACTTTTATAGAGGTTTGCTAGAAGCCACTGTCAGGCAGCAGGAAGTCACTCTTCCAAACCAGGTGCACCAGTTCCAGACTAGCAAGACTAGCGGCGCAGCCTTCCTCGAAAGGCTTGGGGGTGGGGAGGAGTCTCTCACCTACTGATGATCCCAAGGCCTGACTGGGCTACTCCCTTCTGCAGTGAGGATGCAGCACCCACGTGATCAGCCCTGGGCGGTTCAATGAGCAGCAGAGGGACAGCTGGAGCCCTGCACTTTGGGGGTGCCCTGAGCATGAGCCTGAGCTCCTGAGGCCCAGGGCAGGGGGCTTGGTGTGTCCAGGCACTTTGTATTTGTACATTATTATTAATATATACATATATTTTATGTATATATATATATATATATTTTTTTTTTTTTTTTTGATGGAGACAAGGTCTCACTATTTTGCCCAGGCTAGTCTTCATTTATTGGCCTCAAGTGATCCTCCTGCCTCAGCTTCCCAGAGTGCTGGGATTACAGGCTTTAGCCACCACTCCTGGCCTGTATTTGTACTTCTACTTTACTTTGTGCATGAATACATCGGGGTAACCATTCATCCCAGGGAAGAACATTTCTGGGCTATCTAGGGGCAAATGCAGGATGACCACGTGTACTCTACCTGGAAGACCTTTTATCTGGTCCAGAAACATTGAGCCAGTCACAGAGCAGGGGCTATAGAGGTCAGTGGGGTCCCCTCATGCCTGTGGTTGAGTTGGACCACCAGGCGGCAGGCAGGCCTCTGCCCTGGGCCCTGCTGGCTAAGTTCACTGACCTTGTATGGCAGCTGTCTCACCTGACGCTACCCAGCCAGTCACAGGCGAGGTCGCCGTCCCTTCTGTGGCCGCAGCTTAGAAAAGCATGTGGGAGATTCATTCCCTCCTGAGGGTCACGCTGAGTCCCCCTCCCTATTTTCAGAGCGCCTAACCCAATCCTTTCCCTCCGTGGCAGGAGGTTTTGAAAGCCTTTGGCACCTACAAGGTGTTAGTGGCCTCCATCCACGCAAACAGCAAGGAATTTCTGCAAACTGAGAACATAGAAGCCACAGAGCTGCAGAGCCGCCTTGGCCAGCTGAGTCTGCACTGGGAGGTGGCCCAGGGCGCGGTGGACAGCTGGAGAGGGGGCCTACGGCAGTCGCTCATGCAGTGCCAGGTACGCTGACTCAGCACCCAGCCGCCGTGGCCAGGCCCACGTGGTGGGAGCAGCAGATATTTTTATCATCGGGTGGCTGTGGCACAGCCAAATGTGGCCTGTGTCGGGAAATACGTGAGCTTTACCGTTTGCTTTGAAAGAGGCCCACCTGCCCTCCTAGGAGGAGACTCCAGGCCTGCCCCAGGCCTCCTGCTCTGTTGCCCACGCCCATGCCCACACCCGGAGTAAGGACTCCGGCAAGCAACCTGCAGACCAGAGGTGCCGCTCCACAGACTCCCCTGTCTCTGACCCTTTGCCAGAGTGACTTAGAGACCTGGCCTGGGAACAGAGGAGCAGGGAACTGCTCTATCACTTAATAGCTGTGTGACTTGGGCACATCACTGGACCTCCTAGACCTCGGTGTTCTCATCTGAAAAGTGGGGATCATTTTAGTGCCCAGCTCCCAGGGATCTTTGTATGAGTAAATGAAGTGATATGTATCACCTTAGCCCAGTGCCCGCCTCCTGTCAGTCTGTGTCGCTGACTAGCTCTGACCCATCTCGGGGAGCACAGGCCACCACAGCCTGTCCTGTGGGGCCGTCTCCCTCCACCACTGAGTGCAGCAGAGTTGTTGAGGCGTGCATGTGGTCTCCATGTGTCTGAGGGGGACCCAAAACACAGGAATTACCTTTTGAAAGGTGGGCCCCTTGTCGTACAGACTTCCCCTGCTAGGGAAGTGTTCTAGGAGCCCATCGGTATCCGTGGATCAGCTGGCGTTGTTGTGAGAGGCTGTGTTTGGCTCCAGTGAATTTGGGGGGGGAGATTCCTTCAACGCATTTGCCCATTTCACGATGAGTGATTTACAAGTGCACCTGCCTGCACCACAGTGAGTGTTCAGCAGTTTTTGATCAAAAACAAGCATGACTCCTGTGATCGACCCTCCCTATTCACCCAATCTTGTCCCAAGCGACTTTTTTCTTTTGTTTCCCTGGATTAAAAAAGTCCTCAACGGGAAACGTATTGCCGATGTGGAAGAGGTGAAACAAAAAAAACGGCAGAAGCACTAAAAGGTACCCAAGTTGACAATTCAAAAACTGTCTTGAGCAGTGGGAAAAACCTCTTTATAGATGTAGTGCGTCAAATGGAGAGTATTTTGAAGGTGACTGAAGTGTAAATACGTAAGAATAAACAATTTTTTAATAAATAAATTCCAGGTTTTTGGGCGATTCCCCCTCATAAAGTCAGCTGGGCATCCTGAAGCCCACCCTCCCGTTGACAGTCTTCCCTTGGTGCCTCCTGGGACTCCCACACATGTGCTCTCCTTCCCTGCCTTCCCTTTTCCTTGTTTTGAGGCCCGGGCATTTGAGTTAAATCCAGCCCTTTCATCCACGGGGAAAGGCAAGAAGAGCAAATGACTGGCGGGTGAGAGGCGGCAAGCTGCCTTTGCAACATGCCTGCTTCCAGAGCTCAAGACAGGTCAGCGCCCTGACATGTGTTGTTCTTTAAGGACTTCCACCAGCGGAGTCAGAATCTGCTGCTGTGGCTAGCGCGGGCTGAGGAGCGGAGGCAGAAGGCTCATGTCGCTGACCCGGAGGTGGGCTCCCAAGCTGTCCTGGAGTGTCAGAAGGAACTCATGGTAAGTTCCTCCCTAGGGGTTCTGGACTGCCCCGGCCTCTGTCAGCCCCAGTGGGTCGGAGCACTCCGGTGGCCTCACCTGATGTTTCTGTGGACAGCGCTGCCGGTGGTTTGTGGGTGACGCATGAGTTCAGCCCTTGTGATCCTCCTTCCCATTGGTGTTTCCCGAGGCCCTTGTGCTCTGAAGCAGAACCACCTGCAGGGCCGAAGGGCCACAGTCCAGGGCAAGAAGTCGGGACTCTCGGGAATTGGGGACCTAGGTGTCTGCAACATCATTAGAAACTTAAGGCCATTTGAATGGAAGTGTTTTATTCCCTTGTGAATCCTGATTCATTTCAGGGGAAACATGGTACTCAGTCACCCTGCTCTACCACTTAATCACTGTGTGACTTTGGGCAAATCAATAAAAATCCTAGGCCTCAGTGTTCTCATCTGAAAAACGGGCATCATTTTAGTGCCATGAGGAGCTGTGTGGGTTTTCAGCACCCACTCTAGAAAACTCTTCTCGGAGGGAGTCGTGTCTACATTTGTCACAAACCAAGATGAGATCTGTATATTCTCCCTTGTGCTCACGGTGGCGTTTTGATCCATAAATTTGTATGTGATCTAAATATTTTAAATTTAATCAGAGTGCTGGCTGTTGTTTAAAATAAGCCTATCTTTGTGCTGAAATCTTCAAAGCCCCACGCTTCTAGAGTAGTAATGTCCTCGAGAATTTTCTGCAGGGATAGAAATGCCCTGATTAATTTGGTAGCCACTGACCTTACGTGGCTGTTCAGCACCTGAAATGTGGCTGTTGTAACTGACACTGATTTTTGGTTGATTGGTTGGTTGGTTTTTTTTGAGTCAGGATCTCTATTCCCAGGCTGGAGTGTCCTGGCATGATCACAATGCTCACGGCTCATGGCAGTCACAATCTCTTGGGCTCAGGGGATCCTTCCACCTCAGCATCCCGAGTAGCTGGGACTACAGGCACATGCCACCATGCCCAGCTAATTTTTAATTTTTTTTTGTAGAGATGAGGTTTCACTACATTGCCCAGGCTAGTCTCGAACTCCTGGGCTCAAGCAATCCTCCCACCTCAGCCTCCCAAAGTGCTGGAATTACAGGCATGAGCTCCAGCACCTGGCCTGAATGTTTTATTTTAATTAATTAAAATGTAAGTAGCCACATGTATGTAGTAGCCATATTGCAAGCAAGCTAACCACCCTTAACAATTAAAACTGATTTGCCTGGCAGGTAATGTCCACATTTCTATTAAGTAGTGTGGTTATGCTGCTGTTTCTTGATTGGTTGACTTTGGACTTAACCTTGACTTCCTGCCTCATCTTCCCACACCAGCCCTCTCACGTCTATCCCCTAATTTCTCCAGCATCACAGTTGTCTTCATGGTGAAAGGGAATGAAAAATAGAGGCAGGATACAATTTACTTGGCCTAAACAGTGCTAGGCTGGGGGACTCAGACCGGCAGATATGAGACATAGAAGGTTCTGGAGCTGAGCACCACCATCATTGATTCCAGAACTTTCCTAGCACACTTTTTTTATTTTCCCCAGCAACTCGAAAAGGAGCTGGTAGAACGTCAACCTCAAATAGACTCCTTGCTAGAGATTTCCGACAGCCTTCTTATCAAAGGGCATGGAGAAGACTACATCGAGGCTGAAGAGAAGGTCCATGTTATTAAGAAGAAACTCAAGCAGTTACTGGATCAAGTGTCCCAAGATTTAATATCCTTGCAGGGAAGCCAGGTGAGTCCACTTGGGGCCGTCAAGATGTCGTATTAGATGCAAACCGGATGGCAGTGTTACAGCCTTGCTGTGGCAGGGAGGACATAAGCAAGGGACGGGCGGTCCCCGTGGGGTCTCATGCTGTGCCCCTTTCTAGCTGTGTGGACCTAGGGAGCTACATAGGCTCTTTGAATCTGCTTTGTCATTCGTAAGAGGGCCATAACAGCAGCGCCTCCATGTTCACATGGCCGGGCTATATCCAGTCCCTCTGCTCCTGACTTGTCTTCATGTCAGACACGCCCAAGCCTTCACTGGCTTACGTGAACAACTTCAAGTCCTCTTGGCTGCTTGATCACCCTCTGTGACCACTCTGTCATTGGTCTACTGTCTTCCCTTTGAAACGTGATCCAACTCAAAATAAATGGGATAGCCAGACTGTGGCCTCGCCAGACAGGGCAGGTCTGTGTCCTCCGTTCTGGACTCTGTTTTTTCCTCAGCAGCCGAGACTAGACTGTCTTGATGACCACATGGTTGCCTCACTGACCTGTGGTCGGCTCACCATCGACTGAAGCTGCTCCTGTGGCCCCCTTGCTGCTGCTAAACTCAGTCTTCCCGCTCTGTGCTATGCCTTTGAGTACAAATGGTTGGCCTGGCATTGTTTACATTCCCTTTTATCTGAAAAACTCGGGGAAAGTGGGTAGTGAGAGCAATAGAAGGAGGGGTTCAGCTGGGGGAGGGGTGGGCCGCACCACGAATCTGCGTGAAGCCCGTTTCTGTGCTCCTGAGACTATTCAGAACCTTCCATCTCCCTGGACTGAAACTTTGGGGTCTGAATTTCAGAACCCAGACCCACCCCTGCCCGGCTTTGACGAGGTAGATGCGGGGGACCAGCCTCCCGCAGCATCCGTGCCTGCTCCCCGAGCAAAGGTGAGAGCCCCCTCCTTCTGGGAGAACTTCACTGGTTACTTTTAAAAGTTATGGAGATGGCGGGAACTTAAGACTCCAAGGCCGCATTAGACACTTCATGACAGCACAGGCCTGCTTTAACCCACTGCTAAATGGAGAGACTTAGTCCAAAGGGTGTTGTTTGTTTTTTGAGACAGGGTCTTGCTCTGTCACCCATGCTGGAGTGCAGCAGTGTGGTCATCACTCACCGCACCTCAAACTCCAGGGCTCAAACACCCCTCTCACCTCAGCCTCCCGAGTAACTAGGACTACAGGTGCACACCACCATGCCTGGCTAATTTTTTACTTTTTGTTGAGTTGGGATCTTGCTATGTTGCCCAGTCTGGTCTCAAATTCCTGGGCTCAAGTGATCCTCCCACCTCAGTCTCCCAAAGTGCTGGGATTACACCACGCCCGGCCCCAAAGATTTATTTTATTTAAATGTACTTTATAAAGATCTGGTTCAAAGGTCCTCTTCTGGTCGATTAGTCTTCTTTGGGATTGTAGTAGATTATAAAAGATGGGAGCCCTTGTAGCATTGTTGAAGGGGTCTCCTGATTTCACCATTAAAAATGATCAACAGGCTGGGCTCGGTGGCTCAGCCTGTAATCCCAGCGCTTCAGGAGGCCAAGGCGAGTGGATTGCCTGAGCCTGTGGGTTCAAGACCAGCCTGGGCAACTTGGCAAGACCTCGTCTCTATAATAAATCAAAAATTAGCCAGGTGTGGTAGCATGTGCCTGTAGTTCCAGCTACTTGGAAGGCTGTGGCAGAAGGATCACCTGACAGTCCAGCAAGTCAGCACTGGGGTGGCCGTGAGTGTGCCACTGCCCTCCAGCCTGGGCAATGGAGTGAGACTCCGACTCAGAAAAAAAAGATCAACAAACAACTGCAAAACACTCAGTATTTTACCAAATCCACTTATTTCTTTCCTCCTAATCTCAAATGTCTCAGGAGTTTGACAGGAAGACGACCTGAGGGAGGTATATATACAGTTTAAGGAAGGATGTCTTTTCTTTAAGGAAGGATGTCTTTTCGTTGGCAGGATTAAACTCTTCGACTTCCTAATTGGATTTTTCTATCCGGCAGGTCCAGACAGAGAGAACCACAGAAGGCGGGAAGGAGGCAGAGAGCAGGTAACAGGGCTTCACAGTCACGGCAGCGAGTTCCCCGCTCCACTCCCCCACGCCCCAGTCTTGCCAACGTCACTGCCGAGGCCCTTGCAAAACTCTGGTTTTCTTTGGGAATGAAACCGAACCCCCCTTTAACCTCAGGTCCTCTCTTCCGGAAGCAGAGGGCAGGTGACGCGATGGGTTCTGCCCCGGCACCTCCCCTCAGCTGCCCTCCTCTCTCGGCAGGGCGCTCGGCACTGCGCGGCCCCGACGCTCCTTCCTCTCCCGGGTGATCCGGGCGGCGCTGCCCCTGCAGCTGCTCCTGCTGCTGCTGCTGCTCCTGGCCTGCCTGCTGCCGTCCTCCGAAGACGACTACAGCTGCACTCAGGCCAACAACTTCGCCCGGTCCTTCTACCCCATGCTGAGGTACACCAACGGGCCGCCCCCCACATAGAGGGCTGGCCGGCCGCCGCGCCACCAGCCTGATAGTCCGGCCTGTGGCTCCAGACCCACCTGTGCGTGACTCTCAGCAGTGGCGAGGTCCAGGGACCTGCTGCAGGTGCCTCCTGCCAGGTCCATCCTGGGTGGATGCTCGGGGCCCTGGATGGCTTTCAAAGGACGTTCCCCCCCGCCCCGCCTGCCTGGGGCACGGAGTCCATGCAGCACTGGCCCTGGCACCCTGGCAAAGCTGGTTGGTTGGTCTGGGGTCTCTGGAGTTGGCAGTTTCCTGAAGAGCCAAGCACTTTGTGAATTCGGATTTATCTGTCAACAGCGTTATTATAATGTAGGTAACATGTCCACGAGCAGTGATGTTTGTCACATGACCTATACGTAGAAACAGGCAAGCAGATGCCACCCTGAAAATGGCTCAGAACCCCCTTGCACCCTTAGCTGATTGACTGGAGCGATAGTTATTTAAAAGGTTTAGAGCCAGTTTTGCTCCAGTCAGCAATTTTGAGCTACAGGTTGTAAACCAAAATGTTCTGTTCAGTACCTGCGTCTGCTCTTTGATATCGCTTTAAATTTTTAAAGAAATTCTATTGCATGGATGTGGTTATTTGTGCATATTTTTTAACAATGCCGAATCTGTATGAAAAATGTAAACTTTCTTTTTTTTTTCTTAAAGTCAGATTTTAGCCGGAGCTTTTGACTAATGTTCAGTAAATGCCAAACTATAGACTTGATAGGGATGTTTTTGTAAGTTAATTTTCTAAGACTTTTCACATCTAAAGTGACGCTTCAGATTTTGTCTCACTGTTGCGCAGGGGTGGGGGGTGTTGGTATAGAAACTTGAAGCTGTGATATGTACAACTCAGATGTTTCTCATTAAAAAACAAAATTAGCCAGACTTGTGTTGTGCTGGATTTATATCATAAAGCGATTCAATGGAAAGCTTAGTCTTCCAAAGAACAAAAATGATGCTTAAAATATTTGGGGAGGAGCTTTTGACCCTAAACTGTTGTATCCTGTCCGTATTTAATTTGTACAGGCTTACTTATGAGATCTAGAAACCCACAGCCTGTCTGGAGAGGAGCCCCTGTGTGTGTGTAAATCGCTGAGTGGGGCCCTCAGGTGCGGCGGGGGGACTATGCGGGCAGCATGGCGTGGAAGGTGGACGCGAAGGGACCACTGCATCCTTTTCTTTCCTATTCCAGTCCTCTCCAGAGCAAATTAACAGGTAATCAGATGTCTAACATGTTACAGGTAAAGCCACCTGCTTTCCTTACAATTCCAGCCCCAACCGCTACTTCCCACCTAAACAAAGAGGATAAACATCAGCCTTTCTCCTTTCGTAATCAGAAGTTAATTGAACCTGGCCAGGCAAGGTGGCTCACGCCTGCAATCCCAGCACTGTGGGAGGCCAAGATAGGAGGAATGCTTGAGACCAAGAGTTTGAAACCAGCCTGGGTAACATAGCAAGGCCCCACCCTTCTCTACAAAAAAAAATTTAAAAGCTAGCCGGGCGTGGTGGTACGTGCCTATAGTCCCAGCTACTGGTGAGGCTGAGGCAGGAGGATTGCTTGAGCACCAGGAGTTTAAGGCTGCAGTGAGCTATGATCACTGCCACTGCACACCAACCAGCACAACAGAATGCAACCCTGTCTCAAAAAAAAAAAAGGGTACTGAACCCAGTTCCTAACCGGCATCTCTTGGCACCTGAGGGCACCACTGACTTAACGGTGACTTCCCCCACTTCTCTGCAAAGCACATACCTCAGGGGAAGCCAATGGAGTACATCAGTAGAGGATGCCCAGCCTCCCTCACTGGGTCAGACATTACAGGCCTGTGCAGGTGAGGAGCAGCTTCATGAAGAGGGAGCACTGGAAGCAAACCTGTCTTCACTTGACCTTCAGTGCTAAAGTGATCAAATCATTGGACTAATGTGGAAAGGAAGGTGATTTTTACCATGCACCTCCAGAGTATTTCAACTCCTTAAAATCATTCATCTGTTTTTCATGGAGCATAGTGATCCCAGAGGAAAGTCTAAGTGAAAGTGTTACCCAGACGTTTTCTTGAAGCCACTGAGTTGGTTTTAGGGGCCCTGCCCCATCGTAGCCTGAGGCAAAAAGGTAGAATCTCCATCTTCTATTCCAAAAGGGGCTGAGTGTTTTAGAGGCCTTCTCTGCTCTAAGGAGAGACCCTGGGGCAAGTCAAAGTTGCAGTGAAAGGAAAGTGTTGCCTGCATTTCAAGGCCTAGTTATGTATTATCAATTCTCAGTCCTTCCTCAGGATAATAAAGGCCTTTAAGCTGGTTTTACCTCCCTCTCTAGGGAGGCCACTGCGGCCTTCCTTCTACTCAAGGCCCAAAGTATTCCCAAAACACTGGCTGGGAGGTCATCTGTGTTTTGCATTCTCTGCAAATGTTTGCATCTTTCCCTCCCCTCTTGCAAGGGAAACTTTCAAATGACTTTTAGCACTAAGATAACTTCAGAATTAATGAATGCTCTTCTCCCCATCTGTAAAAGGTATAATATTAATTGACTCAGAGGGGATAATTACAGAAAATCTTTCCAAATAATTGATCCACTGCATACCAGGACTTCAATATTTTGTGGGTTGCATTTTACTTGTATACACAGGCCTGCGGCCATAAATCACACGTGTGAGATTAGCTGACTAAAGATTAAATTGCTCCTATGTAAGAAGCTGGAGGTGAAAGCAAAGGTTCTTCCTTCTCCTGAAATTGCATGCACGCCTCTGTGTTCATGTGCCTGTTCTCAGGAATGCATGTCCATGGTTTTCATCAAATTCTCAAAGGACTCTGAAAGTCCAAAATAGAGTAGCATTCAGCACAGAACGTAGACACTGACAACTTCGCATAATGACGGTAGGTTCTTATAACAAACACGTTTTTAAAACCAAAATTATGAAAAAAACTTTATTTAATTTATGTCACATTAAACTTCTCTCTGCAACAGTTCCAAAGACATTAAAGGGACACATCAAGGAGAAGCACTACCTGGAAACAAGGAAAACAGGTCTCAATCTGCTTTCACACACGGGTGGACATTCATTTCCAAAAGGGCCCACCCCCATTTATAGCTGGTAAGTGGAGCCAACAAGCTGGTGGAGCGGTACAGGGCATTGGTCTAAATAAGTGACAGTGTATATAGCCAGTAGGCTCTGGGGTGCACAGGACCACTGAGTAATAAAGTCATCAGACTAGCAGTCAAGGCACTCGGAATCCCAACACCAAAAAACAAACACAGCAACGTCGATTGTACAGTTCGTAGGAGCTGTTCCAGGCTGGCATTGCCAAACCCTCACCCTTTCCACAGGGAAAACCCACCACCAACTCCTGGTGGCTGCCCCAAAAGTGAACAGGATCCTTGGAATTCAAAAAAAGGGAAAACCCTTAACTCCAAAGCAACAAGAAGCAGACAAGAAGATCACAGACTGCAGAGGTCACGCACATCTCGGAGCTGCCTGGGAGCCAATGTGCCAGCGAGTTCAGTGGCTTCGTAAGTGGCATGTGTCTTCACGCTGCAGTACATCACACTCCACGGGGAAGCATCAGTGCCCAAAGGACGCTAGTTTTACAAGGGTCAGTTTCCAAGGAACACATTCCACTTTCACGCGTTTGGGGAAAGCAGTGACAGAAGGGAGGGGATGATAGTACCCGCAAGCTAGATCCTGGGATGGGAGGATGGGAGTAATAGCAGGATGCATCTGATTTTTTCACCTGTCATTGCTGCTGTCCTGCTAAAGGTTCTCACCTACACCGAGAAGTAGGATCTACAGGTACAGCAGAGGCAGCCCTGCCTTAACCATCCCTCCATTCTCCTGAGACAGCCCACGAGGCAGACACTCACAGAAGCAAGTCCAAGAACAGGAGGGTGCTGGTGGCCAGGCAAGCAGCAGACCTGAGTTCCAGTCTAAGCTTTGCCATGAGTTGTTTTATGACTCTAATAGGTGACTTGCCCCCATGGGCTTTAACTTAAACATGTATTATATAAAAGATGGGGTTGAACTTCCACAACAGAGATTTGTCAGCTGCTAGTGGTCTGCAGGGGGGGCGGTCTTTGAACATTTGGGAAGGGGCATCACAAGGAGTCCCCACCTAAACCATGGCAGCCGAACATGTCAGGATGCATTTGATGAATGGATTCTGCAGTTTAAAAATACTTTTCTGGACTGGGCATGCCTGTAATCCCAATGCTTTAGGAGGCTGAGGCAGAAGGATCCCTTGAGCCCAAGAGCTCCGACACTAGTCTGGGCAACATAACGAGACCCTCACCCATCTCTACAAAAAATTTAAAAATTAACCACGTGGGTGGCACGCACCTATAGTCCCAGCTACTCGGGAGGCTGAGGTGGAAGGATCTCCTGAGCCCAGGAGGTCAAGGCTATAGTGAGCCATGATGGTGCCACTGCACTCCATCTGGGCAACAAAGCAAGACCCCAACTCAAAAAAATATATTTTCTGTATTTTTTTAACTAGTTGAACTGCATGGTCGCTTTCAGCATTGAACCTGGATGACCTGCGTTCTGTACCACCACTTATTCCCTGTTTGACCTTGAGCAGGTTTGCTCAGACCCTCTCTAGTCTCCATAGCCAGAAAATTAGGACAATAGTAATTATTATGAGCATTAAGTACAAATGTCTGAGGCACTGAGAACTGTCTGGCACAAATATTATTTTTAGGCACTAAACAATATGTTTTTATAATTTTCTTTTAAAGATTTTTAGCAGCTTAAAGAAATGTGTCATATCTTATTAAATAAGAATATTTTGTTTCAAAATAGACCTAGAAACTGAAGGTTCACCTTGAATTTGAAAAGCTTCAACATATGGAAGCCTCTTGGCCAGGTATGGTGGCTCATGCCTATAATCCCAGCACTTTGGGAGGTCAAAGTAGGAGAGTTTCTTGAGACCAGCCTGGGCAGCATAGCAAGACCTCATTCTACAAAAAAATAAATAAGCTAGTTAGGCATGATGGTGTGAACCTGTAGTCCTAGCTACTTGGGAAGCTGAGGCAGGAAGATCACCTGAGCCCAGGAGGTCAAAGCTGTGGTGAGCCATGATCATGCCACAGCACTCCAGTCTAGGCTATAGAATGAGACCCCAACTCAAAAAAGCCACTTAGCAGATATAAATAAGACCCAAATCCTGTTTTCACATGCTAGAAAATTCTAGAAATGCCTCAATTCTGTTTATATATATAAATACATACAGATATATAATATGGCTCTGCCAAGATTGGTAACTGATTTTTTTCTTACTGAAATCTAAAATGATTGCCCTTCCAGCTGAGTTAGCAGGAGAAATATTCCAGATAAAGACATTGTCACTACAAAGCTTTCACTGCTTTAAGTCTCCCCAGATTTGTTATTAGGCTGATAGTTTTGTTTTGTATTCCCCCCACCCCAATGTTTCAAGAAAAATCTCTTCAAGATTATTTTAGGGTCGAATCCTTTGTAGTGAGTTCTGGTGGACAGTGAGTATGAGAGGCCTGAGGCTGAAGAGGGGAAAACTTGGTGAGAACCAAGCTCACCATGGAAACTCACTGTGCAGATCTCCTGAGAGTGTCCACTTTAGAAATGGCTGGTTCACTCCTGAGAAGTGGCATGAACTGTCTTCAAAATACTTCATGGTAATTATTTCATTATTCAAGCCTCTAATCCCAGCACTTTGGGAGACCAAGGTGAGGGGATTGCCTGAGCCCACGGGTTCGAGATCAACCTCGGCAACATGGCGAGACCTCATCTCTACAATAAATCAAAAAATTAGCCAGGCATGGTAGCACACACCTGTAGTTTCAGCCACTTGGAAGGCTGAAGTGGAAGGATCACTTGAGCCCACCAGTTCGATGCTGGGGTGGCCGTAAGCGTGTCACTGCACTCCAGCCTGGGCGATGATGGAGTGCAGACTCCAACTCAAAAAGTAAATAAATAAGTAGTTCCAGCTCCCTGGAAGGCTGAGGGGGAAGGATCGCCGGAGCCCAGCAGGTCGAGGCTGCGGTGGCCGGGAGCGGCCACTGCACTCCAGTCTGGGCGACAGAGTGAAACTCCAACTCAAAACAAATAATAATAAATTAAAAATACATATGTCTATATGGCCGGGCGTGGTGGCTCATACCTGTAATTCCAGCACTTTGAGGGGCCAAGGTAAGAGGATTGCCTGAGCCCAGGAGTTCAAGACCAGCCTGGACAACATGGCAAGACCGCGCCTCTGCAGTCAATCAAAAAATTAGCCAAACGTGGTGGTGCACGCCTGTAGTCCCAGCTACTCAGAGGCTGAGACAGTAGGATCGCCTGAGCCCAGCAGGGCAAGGCTGCAGTAGCCATGATCATGCCACTGCACTCTAGCCTGGGCAACAGAATGAGACCCTAATTTAAAAAAAAAAATTTTTTTAATGTCTACATGACCCCTTATTAGAAATCATGTTTTTGGAGTTAAGCCCACATCTCACTCACCTCCTATAAATTAGTTTCTCTTATTAAATGATCACTTGCAAATTAAAATGGAGGAATGGAATCCTGCCTACCAGTCGAAGGAAAAGCTGAGGGTCAGTTTTCCCTAATGCATAAAATGTCTTATTTGTTTGTTTGTTTTTCAACACTCAGTTTAATTCCTGTTTACAGTTGTCAGGGTCTATTCTCTAGTTAGTTCCTCTTAAAAACAGAACCTGGAAACACTGGACTTCTTGCTTAGCTATGGAAGAAGTCTTAAGTTGCCCTAAACGAACAGGAGCCACTTGGGAGCAGATAACCCCCAAAGGACACATTGTACAAAGCACTATTAAAGGACTAAGCTTTAAAATGCACATTTAGGATTTACCCAACCCACAGAAACAGCAGTCTGGCACATACCAAAGTGTCATCCTTGGAGGACACTTTTGGAGCAGAGGGCCAGGGAGATCTGAAATACTTCATCTGAACATGGGAGCGGGCGCTAAAATATTCAAAACAAGACAAAAACGCCTCTAGAGCACAGAGTACGTTATCTCGGCCTTCCCCAGACCCCAGCCTGAAAGCCCTGCCCCCAGATGAGACAGGTCAAGTGGGCACACTGACCTGTGTCCCAGTACACCCAGGCAAGCCCCATGCCAGGAAGAAGTGATCCAAAGTACCGCACTCTCCCCTCCACAGGCTCAATTCAAATGCCATGAAACAAGCAACCTCGAGAAACCTGCAGCAATATTTGTGGAAAATAACCAACAGCCATCGACTGGGTATCATACAGAACATTCTGTAGTCTGGGTAAGCACAGGAGCTGGCGCGGAACAGTGCTCGGACACCTGCCTTCAATCTGGCCCCTTGGGTATCCAAACCCAACCTAGAAAATTCACTTCACTACATGCTAATTAGGCAATGGCTTGGACCTCATTCTGTTCTGGTTTTTATTTTTGCTCTTCTCGCCTGGCAATCTCTCTTAAAAATATAATTAATAGAATTTCACTGGCAAATAATTAATTGTTGAAAGCTGTCTTCTACTTCTCCCATTCCCTACTCTCTCGGCACCCCCTCCCCACGCCTCATGTGTAGTGGAAGATTCTAGGCCAGCCAAAGGAAAGAAACTTGACCTTCTGGCTAACACTGGTCCCCTGGTTCCTATGAAATCAAGTTTATGTTGTCTGTACTGAATCTCACTAAGACTGTGACAATGAGTCCCTAAAAAGAGTTTCAAACTGCCCTGGAACGCAAATGTCAGTGTGCCTCCACTTTTAGTAAAAGTATCAAAATTAAAAGTTATTCAAGGTCTCACTGTCAGAAACCAACCTTTGTAACACTGAATGTAATCTTCCTAATGACTTAGTAAGTACAGGATGTGCTAGCCAAAGTAAACCTATTTTCAAAAAGAAAATGTATTTAATGTCATATCACAAGGTAATCTTTAAAAACATTACTGCAAAAATAGGCTGGGCGCGGCAGCTCATTCCGGTAATCCCAGCAATTCAGGAAGCCAAGACAAGGGGATCACGTGAAGCCCAGGAGTTCGAGACCAGCCTGGGCAACATAGCAAAACCTCATCTCTACAAAAAATAGAAACAAACATTACTGCAAAAATCAAGCATGACTATTTAGGTGCTCACTTCAAAAGTATAGCTGCTACTCATTCTATGCATTTGCTACGTTTGAAAATTTCAATTTTTAAAAAGCCAGTAAAAGTTGTCATTTCAGAGGTGGTTTTACCTTCATGTCCTAATGCTGTTCCACTTGGAATAAGAACTAATACTTTTCGTGGTACATATACACAATCGAGTATTATGCAGCCATAAAGAAGGACAAACATGGAATGGACTTCGCAGCAACTTGGATGGATTTAGAGTCGATCATACTCAGTGATCTATCACAGAAACAAAGATCATAGTACCATATGTTCTCACTCATAAATGGACCTTGAACAATTATCATAACACTATAAGAAGGGGATTAACAGTAGTGGGAAACTGTCAGGGGAGGGGAGTGGGATTGGCAGCTGAGGGAGACTGCCAGGGGAAGGAGAGGCACACCTCATCAACAAGGGTACCTGCATAATGAACATTTGTATTTCTAACCCTGAATTGTACCCCACATCTTTAAAGTAAAAAATTTAAAAGCTAAAAAAAAAAAAAAGAACTAATATTTTTACTAAGTTTCTATTTCACCCAGCCCACCATATAAATGTCCTGATAAGAAAATATTTTAAAAGAGCCCTAGGGTGTAAAAGAATTTTCTCTTGCTATAAATAATTACCTCTACATATTTCTCTTTTAAGAGCATTCACAAACCAGGTCTTGCTCGGGCAGTGTGCTCATCACATCAAGGCTACATGATGTGGCCCTGAAGCTGACATGCTGTGTGTGTGGCTATTCACCCATAAAACAGTGTGCCATGTACACCCGCAACCCAAAGTGTCCCTTTCTCCCTGGGGTGGCTGATGTGACGGTGGTGGCTGTGTGAGATGGAAGCTGTGTCCCCAGTGCCCCAGGGAAGCACTGTGGCTGTAACCCACACCCAAAGGACAGAACCTCATTCTTACAAACACGGGGCTCCTTGGGGGCAACAGAGGTTCCAGGAAGGGCAACTCCAGGGGCAGGAAGATTTACACACACATGCATGCGTACACACACACACACACACACACACACACACACACACACACACACACACACACACCCCAAATGATAAGCAGGCACTATGAATGCAAATCAAGAGGGACACAAATCTGTGTGACGTGGCAGCAAAGTCTGGAGGGAAGAAGGCGACTCACATCCTAGCTTGACCACAGTCCCTCTGGCCTTCGACAGAATAACTGTCATACATGACACTGGTCCTCACAGGCCTGTGAGGTAGGTATGTGAAACTAGCTAGTCGATTGTCTTCGTGGCTCTCAACCCTACAATCATGTGGTCCAGAGGAGCATACAGAGACTAACCCCAAGGACAGCACATGTCACACAGTAAAGGTTAGTCCACCTCCTACAAGTGTGTCACATTCTCTCCTCTTTCTAATGTGTAACTCTTCCCCGTCAGATGTCCACCATTCATTCCAAAACCTTTAAGGTGTCATCCAGAGAGATGGACAGGAGATGGGAAGTAAGAGAGGAACCACATTGCGATCCTAGAAAGCCATTCAAGACGAAAACTCTGCATTTAAAAGTCCCCCCCAGGCCCAGCACAGTGACGCACGGGCCTGTAATCCTGGCAACTTGGGAGGGCAAGGCGGGAGGATCACTTGAACCGAGGAGTTTGACACCTAGGTAACATAGTGAGACCTCATCTCTACAAAAAATTAGCCAGGCATGGTGGTGCACACCTGTAGTCCCAGCTACTCAGAAGGCTGAGGCAGGAGGATTACCTGAGCCCAGGAGGTCAAGGCTGTGGTGAGCCGTGATCATGTCACTGCACTCCAGCCTGGGCAACAGAGCAAGACACTGACTCAAAAAAAAAATGCCCCCTGGCAACAAGGCAAGCTGTGGCTTTCTCACCCTGACTCCTGGGAGGTAGGGAGGTGAGGGAGGAAGGACAAGGACGGCACATGACCAAGCCTGCCATAACCAAGTGAGGGCCCACGCAAGAGTAAGATGACGGAGCCCAGGCTCCCAACAGCTGGAGGTCACATGTCATCTTCAGCCTCCTCTGTGGGCCTGTTCCACTCAGGGCCAGGCATCACAGAACCTGTGGGTCCTGGGATCCCTCTTCACTCTTACTGTCATCTGCCAGGCTGCACTCGGACCTCAGGACCAAGGACTTGCCCCCGTGGAGTGTGTGGGCATTCAGCATCTCCAGCAGCAGGTCGTATACCGGGACCACATTTTTACACTTCATGTTGAGCAGATGTTCCATGCCCTTGTTACTGTAGGGACAAAAAGGCACTGAGATTTCTTCCCTTGAGGCAGGAACATTGACATCTTCCCTGGCTCTCCTGCACAGAGCCAGTCCACCCCACCCAAGTCCACCATTCCATGGCTTGTGCATCCAGTTTCCCCAATAATCTATACTCCAGGGCGAGGTCAATGTCCTTCCATATCAGTGTCTCACCACCTGCCCACAACCACCTGGCACAGCACCTGGCACATAGTACCATCAAGTCTCATTACTCACAGAAGTGATATTGTAAAGTGTGAACACTGAATTAGCAAATGCTGAATCCCTGCTCCTAGGGGAAGCACAGGGCTAGGTTCCTATAAGCTTCTGGTCACAACATTTCCAGCGGCCAAGCAACACAAGACTTTGTTTTATATGTGTTTCTGTTAGAACACACCTTATTTAATATATATTGTTAACTCATCAACACTGACCTCATGGCTAGCAGCACTTGAACTCATGCCCAAACAAAGCTTACCTAACATGTATTTTCTGCCTAAGGCACAGCAGCCTTCCCCCTAGGAACACTAGACAGTGCCTCAGCACTACACAGGGGGCCATTTTAAACAGCAAGATCACCCACAAAAAGCACAAAAATGTAAAAACATGACACTGAACAGATTGTGTAAAGGACACTTGTTTCCAGAATGAGAGCTGAAATATCGACTTGTTCCACCTCAGCTGGGAACATGCATATTGGGCGACTCAAAATGTTTGCCTGTGCGTAACCTCAAAAGCACCATGAGTATTGCTTTGGGGGGTTACAGATAACATCTTAACAAAAAGGTGAATTCACAAATTTGGAATCTGAAAACACTGAGGATCAACTGCATCTGTTCTGCAAATGGTTGTAAGCGGAATAATCACTAAAGAGAAAATGGGAACAGACGTGGTGGCTCATGCCTGTAGTCCCAACACTTTGGAGGTTGAGGCAGGAGGATCACTTGAGCCCAGGAGTTCGAGGCTCTGGTGAACTATGATCACACCACTGCACTCCAGCCTGGGACCCAGAGTGAGACCCTGTCTCAAAATTAAATAAAGGAAGAAGGGAGAAATCTTTCCTATTTCCTGCCCCTTGTTTTTTTTTGCTGTTGTTATTGTTGTTGTTGTTGTTTTTGAGTTGAAGTCTCACTCTGTCGCCCAGACTGGAGTGCAATGGCCGCTCCTGGTCACCGCAGCCTCGACCTGCTGGGCTCTAGCGATCCTTCCGCCTCAGCCTTCCAAGTAGCTGGAACTACAGGCACGCGCTACCACTTCAGCTAATTTTTTTATTTATTGTAGAGATGAGGTCTCGCCAAGTTGCCCAGGTGGGTCTTGAACCCACAGGCACAGGCAATCCACTCACCTCAGCCTCCCAAGGCACAGGATTACAGGCTGAGCCATCAAGCCCGGCTACCTGCCCCTTGTTAAAATCCTTGAGGGGTGTACTGTCCCCTCCTCCTCAGGTAAGCAGTGACCTTCCATTCTCATCTCTTCTCTTCCAGCCTCAGGGCAAGGTTATCCTCGTCCTAGGTGACACCAAGCACCCTCCCCTCCATCAGCACACTCTCACATTCCCTGACCTGACAGTGTAGGTCAAGCCTGCCCACAGCCCTACCTTCCTAAAGCTGTGGGACTCGCTGCTTATCCTAGGTCTCATCTTTAATATCCTGATGCCACTGAGAGAAAGGAACTTGGGGAAGGAACAACTTAGGGAAGGCTAGAATAGCTGGACTTGGCCCCTCCACAAAAATGACCTCAGCTCTGGGTGGTGAAAGGAGGTGTGGCAGCTCATTTGGGGAGAACTGTCCCTTTTAGGGCTCCATAACTGAGCTATAAGCCCCAGCAACCAAGAAACAGGCACGCCACCACCAGGTGCCGCGATGATCCTTAATGTGCCACGAGACATTCGCTCAGGTCCACTCTGTGCCAGTCATTGGTTACAGGTGTGGGAACTGAACTGACGAAGCCCCCATTCCCTTTCAGGGGCTCTTTTTCCTTCACTTGCAAACATGCTTCCCAAAGCTCTTCACCCTCCTGTGAGCTCCCCATACCCCCACGCCCTGACCTGGGTCCGCACCTGGCATGCCTGACGTGTGACAGGAGCATCAGAAGGTTGGCCAGGCGCATGGACTGCTGCTGGGAGGAGATGCCACTCTTGGCAATCACCCAGACCAGGGCATCGGTCACGGCGTTCAGTAGGTGGGTCAGCTTCCGGCTGCTCTCGGCCTCCTGGGTTGCTGCAGCCAGAGGGGACATGCCTGGACAAAGAGGAAAAGCCACTGGTCACTGCTCTCATAAAGGTAAACTGAAGCTGTGTGCTCAGCCGTCAAGCATGCCTACTGTTCTCCAAGGGTGACCTAGTTTGGGCTGCTCTGACATCTGCATGTGTGGCCAGATCTTAAGAGCACAGAAAAATTAGCTGGGTGTAGTGGTATATTCCTGTAGTCCCAGCTACTCAGAAGGCTGAGGTAGGAGGATTGCTTGAGCCCAGGAGATTGAGGCTGCAGTGAGTCATGATGGCACCACTGTACTCCAGTAGGGGTGACATAGTGAGATCCTGTCTCTAAAAAACAAAACAAGGCCAGTCACAGTGGCTCATGCCTGTAAATTCCAGCACGGTGGGAGACTGAGGCAAGAGGATCACTTGAACCTAGGAGTTCAAGACCAGCCTGGGCAACATAGCGAGATCTCGTCTCTACAAAAAATAAAAATTAGCACAGCACGGTGGCGTGCATCTGTAGTCCTAGCTACTCTGGAGGCTGAGGTGGAAGGATTGCTTGAGCCCAGGAGTTTGAGGCTACGGTGAGCCATGATCATGCTACTGCCCTCCAGCCTGGGCAACAAAGTGAGACCCTGATGCAAAAAAACAAAACAGCATGGCTTACCTTCACTCCATCCCCAGGGGGTTCTTCCCCATGAGCCAGCCCCATCACTGGAAGCGAAGTCTGGCTGAAGGTAGGACAGACTAAATGACCTCTCAAAGAACTGTGGCCTCACCACAGCTGTAAAGGTATCTAGCTGCCCAAATCATTAAAAGGTATTTCTCATCTGCAGCAACAGAGATGGTCAGAAAGTGAGGTCAATCCACTCTGAACCCCAAGGAGGGCCCTTCATCCAAGGGATGTTTAATAAAACAGACCAACGGCCAGTGCTATGAAGCCTCCCTGCCATACCCTCACATGTGCCACGTGCCTCTGACAGCCACAGGAGAGCCCCTGCCCCTCTGCCCGGGGCATCAGCATCTCATTTCTGGGGTACCTTGCTGGGGCAGAAGAACCGCTGATTTGGAGTCAGACAAGCCTACTTTCTTTTTTCTTTATTTTTTTTTAAGAGGCAGGGTCCCACCCTATTGCCTAGACTAGGGTGCAGTGGCACTACTATGGCCTCACCGCAGCCTCAAACTCTTGGGCCCAAACAATCCTCCCCCTCAGCCTCCCAAGTAGCTGGGACTACAGGTATGCACGGCCATGTCTGGCTAATTTCTTCACATTTGTTTGTAGAAAGGAGGCCTCGCTATTGGTCTCAAACTCCTGGGTTCAAGTAATCCTCCCACCTCGGCCTCCCCAAGTGCTGGGATTACAGGCATGAGGCACTGTGCCCCATCTGACAGACCTACTTTCTACCCATCTGTAGCTCTTTAAGCCTCAATTCCTCATTGAACAAAAGCATGCAGGAGCATAGCTCCCTAAGTCCCTACAACCACCCCACCAGGTAGGTGGCTTCCCCATCCTGCCCTGACTTGTGTCAATTTCCTTCTGACTCTAGGACCTGAAATCGTTGTGGCCGCCCAATAGTTGCAAAATAACATCTCAGGTAAATCTCCTCTCCCTGATCCCCAGTCCGATTCCTTGATTCCCTTTCATAATGGGCTTCTCTTCCAGGCCTTCGATTTGAAAGCAAGAATAAATAACAAATATGTGAAATCAACAAGGGTGCTCCTGGCTCTCGGCTGTCATGGGAATGAGGATGGCTGGTGCTCCATCAGCCACAGAATCTGTTTGAGCAGATTTTGTTCCCCATTTTTATTGGCACTTTCAGTAAGGTGACTCAATTTGACTCCATTTAACTCAGTTAAGGGATGCATGGAAGCAACGCTTACGCACACACAGTGCTTAGCCACAACCCCAGGGGCCTCTGTCACCTTTGATGATACACATCGAAGATTTCTCTTTCACAGGAGCCCTGAAGCTGCCTCTCTACCCCACTGCTCACCTCCTTCTCCATGGTGGCTCTTCCTGAGTCCTCCACGGAGAAGACCTTGCCTCTCACTGCAGAGGAAACAAGACCCTACGCGGAGCATGTCACCCTCTGTGTGACTAGAAAGCAGATCCGCTTATGGGGCTCCCTTTAGTGACTGCCCAGCTTGTGAGGCAGAGTCCAAACCATGGATGCAGCTGGCAAGGCCCTCCCTGCCCATTTCAGCCGTGGTGCCTACCACTTCTCACCTTGAATCCCTCTCTCAATTCTGTGGGAGGTGACACGCCCCACATGCTCTATTCTCTGCTGGGGGACTGTCTCCCCCCTCCTCCTCACCCTTTTCTTGCTGACTTATACCCACTTCTCCTGTAGATCCCAGCCCTGTCAGGGACTTCCTTCTGGAAGCTTCCCTGACAACCTCCCTGCCATTCCACTCTAAGTCTGGCTTGAGTCCTCCCCAGAAGCTCCAACAGTGCCCTGCTCACCCCATCAGAGGCGCACACTGCCACACATGCTGGGTGTCTGCCACATCCTTACACGCCAGTGGCCACCTCCCACCCTCAGCAAGACTGGATCTAAGTGCCCGGAGGGCACAGATCCTGCCTGGGTCACTCCATCCCCATCACCCAGTACAAGCGCTGGCGTGGGGGGAACTCACACATGGAGGAATCAGACTAGCTGAAACCGGGCACAGGCTCAAATGTTTGCATTTTAATCCAATTACCTACCTGAACATGCCTGTTGATATAGACATTAGTTACACACAAACAATAAATTATTCATCAAAAGTACAGAGAATGTTACGTGAAGCTTACTTTCCCTGAAACTGACCCCAGTTGCATTAACCAGTGCTTTCTCTGAACCACCCTTTAGTCTATCCTGCTGCATGACACGTGTGCCACGTACTTCTGCTGCTAAAAAGAAATGCTATGTCTTTGGATTCTAAAAGGAGCCAAAACCAAGTACGTTTCTCAGTTCAAAGGGACAAAGGTTGAAAATACAAAAATAAATCCTCAGTATACACACAGAGTTCACAATGGCATTTCTCACAATAGTTTAGAAGTGGAAGCAACCCAAATGTCCATCAACTGAAGAACAGATAAATAAAATGGGGCCTGTCCATACAATGGAATAGTATTCAGCCATCAAAAGGAATGATGTACCAATTCATGTTACAACACAGATGAACCTTGAAAACATTATGCTAGTTGGAAGAAGCCAGTCACAGGGATCACATTTTGCATGATTCCATTTCTATGAAATGTCTAGAATGGGCAAATCTATAGTCATGGAATAGACTAGTGGTTGCTGGCGGGGGATGGATTGGGGAGTGATGGCCAAGGAGCATGGGGTTTCTTTTGGGGTGACGAAAATGTTCAAAATTTGATTGTGGTGATGACTGTACCACATACAGTAAATACACTAAAAAACATTGGACTATATACTTTAAATGGGTGGATTATACAGTATATGAATTATGCCATTATAAAGCTGTTATTAAAAGTAATAACAACTAGCTGGGCGCAGTGGCTCATGCCTGTAATCCCAATACTTTGGGAGGCTGAGGTAAGATGATTTGCTTGAGCCCAGGAGCTCAAGACCAGCCTAAGCAACATAGTGAGACCTCGTCTCTACAAAAAATTTTTTAAAAACTAGCCAGGCATGGTGGTGCATGACTGTAACCCCAGTTACTCAGGACGCTAAGGCAGGAGTATCACCTGAGCCCAGGAGGTAGAGGTTGTGGTGAGCTGTGATCATACCACTGCACTCCAGCCTGGGCGACAGAGTGAAACCCTGTCTAGAAAAAAATGAACTCTCCTCCACCTTCAAAAAATGAAAACATCAGTTAGGAGTCATTGTAGAACAAAATTAAACTACTTTTCACGAAACTAAAGAAATACAGTAAAAAAGACAAGATCCTGGCACAATACCCCACGCATACCAAAGAAAGGAAAATAAAACCAAGGACGTGAGCTCCTCTCCCCTCTATCACCCAAGAACAGCTGTGCATTCCTCTCAGGAGCCCGCCCGATGACATACTGAGCAACCCAAAGGTGGGAGGGGCTGTCACCCCCCTTCAAGATTTGCCACATCCTATGTGTTCAAAGGATGAAAATATAAGCTTTCCTTGACTGAGGGCAAAAAAAATCTAAAACTCTAAAGTGTCTAATTAAAAAAAATCTCAGAACACTGACCAAAAGCAAAAATATCTGGCTTTTGGGAGCTGCATGTGGTGTTTGCTTGCCTGCTTGGAAGAAAAGTGCCTCTGGCCATGACCCATGCCCTCCGTCCCCACACCCTGTCCCCAGCACATGAGGGCAGACCAGACCGGTACTCCAAAAGTGCAGTGGAATGAGGCCAGCAGGCTGGTGTTCATTCAGCCAAGCTTTGCCCCATGTTCTTGATCAGTAGGCAAGCCCCCTCCCCCATCTTTCTTGGTCAGTGTCCCTCTGAAGGTCCTTCTGTGTCTTGGCCTGCTCCACCCATCTGCTTCACGGGAACTCTCCCCCACAAACTCAGGAGGAAACTGGGCTTCAGCCAATATCTTAGTAACTTTTTTTTAAGGTGTGTGATGTCTTACTGTTGCCTAAACTGGAGTGCAGTGGCTAGAGGTGCAGTAGCCTTGACTCCTGAGCTCAGGCAATCCTTCCGCCTCAGCCTCCCGAGTAGCTGGGACTACAAGGGGATGCCAACACACCTGGCTAATTTTTTGCTTTTTTTTTTTTTCACTATGTTGCCCAGACTGGTCTCAAACTCCTGGGCTCAGGCAATCCTCTCGCCTCAGCCTCCCAAAGTGCTGGAATTACAGACATGAGCCATAGCATCCGGCCTCTTAATAACTTTCTTCATGAAAAGGGGATTGTCTGGTTTAAACTCTCCATTTACTGAATGAAAGGTTTCATCCTTTTTAAGTCTCAAAACAGCTGAGACAAATAGACTTGTTCCTTATTCAAAATATTTTTAAAGACATAACAGAGATTATATGTGGGTTCATTCCACTCTAATTCCTAAATCCAATACCCCTTCTAATTCTGTCCAAGGGGAGACATATCTAATCTTC